AAAATTATACCGTACCGAGTATCATGAATAATGATACTTCATAACTAAAGGTGAATCTTAAACCTCAGTGCTTCATTCCCGTGAGATTGCGGCTCCGGCAGGTGATGTCTTACAGGTGACCTTTCACAGATCAAGATGATTTTCAAATGGAATACTGCACTTATATTTGTATAAATTTGTGAACGAACGAAAACGCAGATATCCATGTTGTTTGCATTTTAACACTGCCGTCTGTTCAGCTGTAAAACTCACGAACGAAATAAATTCTTCTTGCAAAGTCAAACAGTCCACTAATTCAAGAAACAAGACCCTCCTGCAAAACAGTCTCCTATTCTTCCAATTTGCAACTGAGCCAATGGGGACGAGAAGGCCGCGAGAGGGGAATTGAGTTTTGAAGAAAATTGATCGGTAAGATAAAAGCATATTTTACAAACTTTGTTTTTTTTCAGTCTGTAATCTAAGTATTTTAAAGTTATACCGTCCAAAAGCTTAAACATTTCCTTTGATCACTCAGCAGATTTCAGTCAGGGACAGTCACTGGTACCTAATTTCTTGGAGGAGCTGGCTAGCTACCTGAAGGGCAAGCTCTCTAGTTTTGACGCTGTAAGTTAGTTTCACACTGACATGTTTCGCAAGACACTATTGGCTGAATTTTCAGCCGGGTCCTCGAAGGAATTTAGAAGGTTAAGCCATGTAGGCAGATTCCCTCTTATTGTTTCTTTTCTTAGAAGAAAGACCAAACAGCCACTACCCAATGAGATGGTAAGAGTTAATCTTCCTCAATAGGTTAATTCCTTAAGTCTCTTTTTAGTAAAGAGAGCTTGAAGCTCAAGTTGCTTTTCAAGTACATCTTTCCAGGGACTATGGTGGCTTCGGCAGCTGAATTCGTCAACGTACAGGCCCTATTTAGGAAACTTACAGGTCACAGGTCACCAGTGAAAAATAGGTATTATCATATTTATCACTTTCTAAATTATTTCACCAGGAGATCTATGAACGCACTTGTGGTGTTTTCTTCTAATTTACGGCTGCAGAAGGAAATTAAGAGAGTGCGTGATAATTTCTGATATTTTGCAACCAAAGTTAAAGTTCTATTGTAAAATTTCAGCTGGGCAACACCGAGGTAAATTGAAATTGCATTACTGTAGATGACATTTTCCTAATCTATCAACCTTGTGTTAACTTTCAGGTTCTCATATGCAGGATGTGATGATCATTTACTAAAATAGTTCAACTGATCGATGTAAATGAAGATTTTTGTGAGTGAAGTAAATAAATTGTTGATTGTTCGAAGGTATAAAGCTGCTATTGTTTTATTACCTTTCTGTTTTGATGGACGATATCCTTCGCAAGCCATAACAAACGCTTATTTGGTCATCGACTTTTGTATTGTAATCAAATCTAAAGCTCTCTCGCTCTCAGTAAGCAAACTATACTTCTTGTAAGCAATATGCCTTTGACCTGCCTATTTCCAAGCCTTTGTCAACAAGCTCAGCAGCAACTGATAAAGCCTGAGTCAAGCATACAGGAGCAAAGACTGCTGAAAACGTATCGCCTCTATCGAGGCTTTTAACACTAGTGATGGATACCCAAATTTTTACAGCGAAATCAATTTGTACATATAATACTTGTTCAGATGTGTAATCTGGACGATTCTTATTTAAAGCCTTTGTCGAAGAATTCTTACTCTAACTTTGATGTTAAGTTCGTGCACGTCATACTCATCAACCCGGAGTTCAACAAATGTCTTTGCTGTAAAGACAAGAGATTCTTTGTTTGCACGTGACGTCGGCATAAATTAAAAAACCAGGGTCAGCCACTTTAGGGGATAACCACGCGTAACAATATGTTGAAGGTGTTACGCAAATACTTGTCAATGTCATGCATTCTAAATAGCTTTCAATACTTGTAATTAGGCATGCCAATGTAGACTATTTTAAGACTTGTGCAAAAAGTCTTAACTCTAAATCCAAAATTTAGATCCTTGAAATATGCCATATCACTCGCTAATGTGAGTCCTATAAGTGATATGTCTTCTGAACTTGCAGCTGTCGTGTCAAGATCAACTAGATCGCTCTGACAAAGGGCTAACGCTTGAAACGTCAGCTGATAACTCTACGATGGCCAATTTACAATTTCAACTTAGTTGAAATAACCAAATTATCTAGCAAAACAAGAGTTGTTAGCCGAGGTCGATAAAAAATGAGTCCTTCATTTTGCTCTGTTTGCTTCTCTCCGAGGTCATCAGAAAAAAAATACACTACCGTGACTAACTCTGGCGTACACAACAACTTCATTTGGGTTTTTGTAAGTAGTTCACAATCTTGATATTGAACGTTCGGATGGAGCTCGATGTTTTCGGAGAAATCACTTTTTCTCAACGCATATCGGTCGAAGCCTTAAACAGTTATTTTTCGTGGTACCTTGACTTCGTTGGACCCTCTAGACCCGCAAAATAATCCAAATACTGAAGGTTCACATCGGGCACGCCTGCGGAAGAAGCCATTTTAAAAGCTTAGTTATCCCCCAACATGGCGGCCGCGTAGCGAATTTTTGTCACCTGGTTGAAAACAAATTATAAAGGAAAGTACTATTTTCTTTGGCAATTTATTCATGTTGTTTTATCTTTATTGCCGCAAATCCCTCTGAGCTTTTTTATGGTTTCCTTTTTCATTTTCTTGGTTTTGGTTTCCACTTCCACTTTCATTATAATGTCCTCCAATGGTATCTCTTGAGTTTGTAGTTTCCCTTCTCTTTTTGTTTTTTTTTTTTGTTTTTTTGTTTTTTTGTTTGTTTTGTGATTTTACTCAGTGCCGTCTTCAATACTTGGACTGTTCGATTTTGCAAGAAAAGAAAAGTCTCGGTGGGTGAGTTTTACAGCGTAATAAAATTCAGTGTTAAATTGAAAACAACATGGACACCTCAGTTTTCATAGGCTCACAAATTTATAGTGATAAAATTGAAAATGATCGTGATCTGTGAAAGGTCATCTCCCAGACATGTCACTTGTTTGCTGTAGTTTAATCTCACAGAAATGAAACTCAGAGTCGAAAGAGGCAGTCGCGTTGACATTTCTCAACTGATTGGTATTAGAAGCGTGACTACATAAGCATTAAAAATTTCCGTTCGCATTCTATATCCTAACATAATAGGTTTTGTTTTGACGGAACTCACTAATTTTCTTTCTGGCGAGAGTTTTATTGTGGAAAGATATTAAAGTTTACCCTGCCTGTTCGCCCGATGCGTTCTTAGAAGGTTCGTATATTTTCTTGGGGATCTTGATCTCTATCGGCGAAGTGTCATCTGTAAACATCTTCCTATACCTCATACAGCTGGAAATTGATACTTACCGTTTGCGAAGGTCGTCTCAGTACTATGATTTAAACTAAGGGGGTTCTCACGTTTGTCGTTTATGGAAGTCGGCTTAATTTCGATCTCACGGCGCACTATCAACGGAGCGGTAAGTGTTGATAATTAATAGTAGCCTTTGTTTTTTGAGTAAAAGACTAACTGTTGAGCGGCCTCAAAGGAAAATTGATTTGTTTCATTTTTCGTGCCTCAATCTGTCGATCTGTCGATCTACTTATTAAAAAAGAAATATAAGCGTTGTCTTCTAAATTTGTTCCATGTCATTGCTCTGTTTGCCAATGAGGGATTGTATATGCTACTATTAATTGTTTAGAAATTATAAACTTTTGAGCGTCCATATAGATACATTGCTTTTGTCATTGTGACCATCTTCAATTTCGCGCCACAAAGGAACTATTGCGCCAAAATGCTAATACTTGTACAACACAAGCGCTTTTTTGTTTGTTTGTTTTGATAACAAAGCAGTTACGCTCAAGAAAGAGAAATTATGTTTGACAGTGTAAAAACTAAGTACCTTAGCAGAAACCACGACCGGGTAACGGTGACGAGGACGTGGCAAAACAAAAGACTTAATGACCAAAAAATAGCTCAGCGAGTGCCTTTGGAAACTTTGTATATTTCTCAGCCGTCCTCTGCTAAACAAGCAACTTTGGATTTGCGCGGTCTGTGGACAAATAGCCCAACGACCATTTATCTAAGTTTCCATATGGAATCTAATGCGGCTCACACACATTGTGCTGAAGTTGAAGTGAAGCGTAGCAAGAAACCGTAAACACATCCGGCCATTCACGAAATTCGAATAAATAAGTTCATTTTCAATCGATGTCTTCCGCCGCGTTGCTGACTGCTAAAGGTCCTTGAATAAAGGTCCATTAAAACGGTTTTAACATTTGACCAGCATTTACTCGACAAAAGTTGAACGGATGTTGGGCGAATGTTGAACGCAAAAATGAGAGAAGCGTCGCAAGAAACCGTAAACACATCCGGCCATTCGCGATAAATAAATAAATCCATTTCCAATCGACATCTTCCACCGCTTAGCCGACTGCTAAAGGTCCTTAATTCAGTAAAGGCCCGTTTAAAAGGTATCAACATTTGACCAACTTTCGTTCGACAAAAGTTGAACGGATGTTGGGGCAAATGTTGAACGCAAAAATAAAACTGTGCAGCGGCCTTTTTAGAAGCCTTACAAAGGTCTTACAAAGGCCTTCAAGAGGCCTTACAAAGGAAAAGTTGAATCGATGTTTAATGAAAGTTTAAACCGATTTAAACTTGATTCAACACGCTTTCAACAGCTTTCAACATTATTTACGTTTTCAACAATGTTGAATAAACGCACCAAAAATTAGGTTCAACAAATTGTTGAATTCATGCAAAGCAAATGCTGAAATCTTTTAAACGGGCATCTATAATGCATCTATAATGACTCTTAAAGGCAATTTCGAGATGTTTTGTAAGCAACAGAAAGATATTGTGGATAATGTATAACATATTGTTAATTTTGTAAGCGATTTTAGCAATTACACATAGAAGCTACTTTGCAGTTATTTTAAGTAGTTTAAGTATCGTACGACAAGTGCTAATTTTGGTTGTTCTGAACACTTGTATATGAGAGCACGACATACCATTACCTTGTCAATGTTGTTTTCTTTATAAGGAAGAAATGTGGTACCATTGAGTGAAAATCTTAGTTTGTACTCTGTGGTCCATTCTAGAGCTGACGATTGGGATGGCGGATTTCCTTGAGTAGCTACAGCACAGATAACATACTCATAGAGTAGGTCAACTTGTAGGTAGTCATCAGGATCAGTTGTAGTCTTAGGTTCCCATACCCTTATTCCATTAAGACGGCCATATTTAGCTGCATATCTGCCACTAAATATTGAACTGGCTGACAAGCTGTCGTCTGAAATCCTAGCACCGCTGGCCAAACCAATAGCCTGTAAATCGCAAACTGCAAGATAATAATTCAAATTTGACTTTCACATTTTCTTACAGGTAATGTAATTCAATTTCATAAAATTAATACCTTCTAAACAATCTATAGGATATTATTACTGAAATATTAAAGACCAGCGATAGAAAAATACCAAAGAGAAGGTAGCCATGATGTTTGCTCAATAACCAAATGAATGGAAAAGAGTGGTTTGTATCATAAAACTACTTATCAAAATAATAATTATTAACATACTTACCCTTTACATAGCCACTAGCTTTGGAGCCTTTGCTCGTAAATTATTAAAAAAAAAAGTACACTAGATAAGTCTAAAATACAAGGATCAGATCGAGAAAGTGTGCAACATATTTTACACAAAGGTTTTTTGCTAAACTTACTTGTCTTCTGATTCACCCCAAACACCTCTGTTCTCATACAGACGCCACCCTGGTGTGTTTGTGGCAGGAATCGAAGATATCTTGTTAACGTTCCATATAGAACATGTTTGACAGTCGAGTTTCCATCCTCATTCCCCACTAAAACCTTAGGAAAATCACAAATAATCGTAACTCATCATAGAGCTCTTTTTTTCCCCGTAGATCACACAATGTGACAAATGTTACACTGTAAGCATGAAACAAATCATCATTAATTTACAACTTGTTATATTTTTTAACAGAATGGTTACGCTTGTAAGGAGGCTAAATTCTTTTTTATTAAAGTTGACAAACTAAATGTAGTTCAAAAATTTGGTACATTCCATTTCCATTTTCCCTGATGATTTCTCACCCCTCCTCCCCCGCCTGACAGAAAATTTACACTTGCAAAATACTAATTCAGTTGGCGTCCTTCTGTCTCGAGAGACAATGGAGTTGCGCCCATGGTCAGTCTGTGGTGGAGCTGCAGCGCCGGCTGTGGCTGTAGAGACCGATCCTCGAGCGGCAGATCCTGCTGCAGTTGCTGCATGCGAAGACGTTGTCGTCCGAGGGGGATGGGTTGGCCTCTGCTCTCTGGCGCCTGCGAGCTCTCTTGTCTTCCCACTGCTCCTCTCTTTTCTGCTCTGCTGTCTTGATGGCTGACATGGTGGTGGATCGCCAGCCACTGCGGTCCGCTGCCAGTGCTTCGAAGCCTGCTGGCGCAATGCCACCCGCCTTCAGGTCACGCTTGAGCACATCCTTGTAGCGGAGCGAAGGTCGTCCAGTGGGTCTGGACCCAGTGGCAAGCTCACCGTACAGAATGTCTTTCGGTAGCCTGCCATCTTGCATGCGGGTGACATGACCGAGCCATCGCAGGCGTCTCTTGGTTAGCAGGGCGTACATGCTCACAGTTCCTGCCCTTGCTAGGACTTCGGTGTTTGGGATACGATCCTGCCAGGTGATACCGAGGATTCTCCTGAGGCAACGCAGGTGGAAAGCATTGAGCCTGCGTTCTTGCCGGGTGTAGGGAGTCCAACTCTCGCTGCCGTACAGCAGTGTGCACAGCACACACGCCTGGTACACTTGCGTCTTGGTCTTGATGGTGAGCATAGTGTTCTCCCACACTCTCTTGGTCAGGCGGGCCATAGCTGTTGAGGCCTTGCCGATCCTCCTGTTCAGCTCGGTGTCCAGGCTGAGGTTGCTGGAGATGGTGGACCCAAGATAGGTAAAGTCCTCCACCACATCAAGGGTACAGTCACCTATGGAGATGCTGGGAGCAGTGCTGACGTCTTGGCCCAGGATGTTGGTCTTTTTTATGCTGATTGTGAGGCCAAACTGTGAACAGGCATGGGCAAAGCAGTTGATGAGCTCCTGGAGGGCAGTTTCGGTGTGAGCTGTGATGGCGGCATCATCAGCGAAGAGCATCTCCCGGATGAGGACTTTGCGCACCTTTGTCTTGGCTCGGAGGCGTGCCAGGTTGAACAGGCTACCGTCGCTCCTGGTGTGCAGGTAGATGCCCTCTTCGGATTGGCTGAAGGCGTAGCGCAGCAGCAGGGAGAACAGGATGCCAAAAAGTGTCGGCGCAAGGACACACCCTTGTTTGACGCCGCTCTTGATGGGGAAGGGGTCCGAGGAGGAGCCATCGTACTGGACAGTACCTTTCATTTCCTTGTGGAAGGAGGTGATCAACCTCAGGAGCTTGGGGGGGCATCCAATCCT